CATATCATTAATTAATTGGGAGTTACAAAATCAAAATTCTATGATTTTTTTGTTAATTTATTTTTGTTAATATAAGAACCATATAAACACAACTATATATATATATGAATCATTGTGTCAAATACGAACAAAAATTTGACATATATATGAACTTGGACTGCATAGCATTTATAAACACAATATGAACATAATAAGAATAAGGATTGTACGAAATAATATAAATAAAAAAACATGTACGAACACGATATGAACAACTTGTGAACAATAGTTCCTTCATTATAAACACATCCATGAGCGATCCTTTGTCAATTAGAGTTTTATACATGCATTGCATCCACACTGTTTAAGGTTCACCCCTTGTTTACATATGTTTCTGATCTTATATGGTTGTTCACCCCTTGTTCATATCGTGTTCACCTCTTGTTCATATCGTATAAAATATATGAACACATAACCCCAACGCTATGAACACCGGGCGCAAACACTTACACAAATATAAAGATTTGGTATCAAGCTTAAAAAATAACATTTGTGTTCATATGATAGAAGTAACATGAACACAATGGTTCATGATTCATAAAAGTCGGTAATATGACAATATAAAAATGGACCGTGCATGTACTTCCATTTGAACATGTGAATTAGGTACGTATTTTAATAATTAAAGAAAAAAATATCAATACATTATGAGTTATAAAAAACACAACACATCGTAATGAATATAATTTCGATTAAAACGAATCTAAAAAAATAAAAATCTATTACCAAGACATTCGCTTTGGTTAATTTCTTTAATTCCCGACCTCGAACTCCGATTGTCATCATAAACCATTTTAATCTTCTCACTGTTGTCGATTATTTTCCATTGCGTTTATCTATATTAGCTTGATCGATACCGAAAATTTTTACTACCGTGTTTTCTATGCGAATTAAAAACTGATAAAACAATAAAAATGGAAGATCAAGATTAAAAATAAATAAAATTATTAATATTATAAATGTATATTTTTTGGGATTTGATGATTTGTAACTTTCCATTAATTGTTTGGGAGTTACATATCAAATAAATATACTGAACTACCCTTGTAATTAAAATGTGAGCATGACATAAATCTACAAGAAAAATGAAATTTGATTGGTTGCCATGGTTTTCAAAGTTAACACAAAGTTATTAGTTAACATTTGATCTTCCCCCTATATATATATATGTGTATCTCAATTAATCTTAGGGCCCTGAAAAACACCCAGAAAAACACTTAATGATTTTGAAAAACTCGAACCAACAACCTCTAAAAAGAAATCTCCCTCCCTCTCTCTCTCTCTCTCTCTCTCTCTATATATATATATATATATATATATA